TGGCCAGCCCAGCCCTAAACCACGACACCATACTATATGCAATTTATGATCTATAAAAGTAGATACATTCTTTATGGCAGAATCAGGTTTCAAATTAATAATTTATACATGTATAAATTTAGGAATACATGAAACAAACATGAAGTCTTCCAGCAAAATAACCAAGTAAGGTCATGCTTTTAGCCAAAGTCTCCTTCTTGGGCTTTCTTTATCATTTCTGTTTGGATGAAAACATCTGTGCTACCCAGCACAAATGTTACTCAGTGCACAGAACTTCACATGTCATGGAAATACTTGGCATTTTACAGTAAACATTTGCTTGGAAACACAGTAGCCCCAAAGTACAATTTAACCTCTGATTCACTTTCCTAATAATAGTGACTTTCTACGTGTTTTGAAGTGTTTCCCACTACTGGGCTTTTTAGCTCAAAATTAGAAAATCTGCTACCATGGAAAACTTGAGCACTCAGTTAAGAGCTTGGACACCTGGCAGCAGAGGACAGAGGTGGGTCAGAATGCAAGAAGTTTGGTTTCTGCTCAATTCCACTACTATGAGCCCCAAAACTTTTCTTCCTTCAGACTTGTTCCCCTCAGAATTAAACAAACTTCTTTCACTTGAGGTGGATTTCTCTCTTCAACTGCTCTACCACATTTTCTTCTCTTCTTTCCTTCAGTATGACACAGCTGAGACAATGCCTCAGCTACTTCTGCTTCAGCCTTGTTGCCTTGCACCCAACATTCAAAAAATACTGTTCTTTCCAGGCTCTTTCATGAGAAGGCCAAACTTGCAATCCATCCACAAATGTAACATCCACTAAAGTAAACATAAATTTGAAAGTCAGCAAGCCTGCAGGACAAAACCTTCAATTTCCTCACATGACTTCTCACTGGATTATAGAGCTTTCCTCATAACTTCAGACAATTTATATAGCTTAATCAGGGCCCAGCAGATGGAAACTCTTGGAATGAAACTTCAGTGAGTAGCAGCCTGTAATTCTGGGGTGCTTGGTAACAAGAAATATAGAGGGAGAGTTTGAAACAAGAAATAGTGACTGCTGGTCACTTATTATAACAAGACTGAGAAGAAGCCCTTCTTGGACTAGAGCTCATCTCGGATACTACAAGTGTTCTTCAAAGTCATAAAACTTATGTTAATTAAACCATGGCCTCCCCTGTCCACCCTGAATAACTAAGCAGAATAACACAAAACATTAACTAAAGGGAAGAAATTTGGCAATAGTGAAGTCTAACAGGACAACCGGTATAAACAGAATGCTTAAATTTCGCTTGTGAGTGACACTCATGCTAAAAGCTACTACTTGTTTTAGAGTTACTGACAATTTAAAATTACTGGCTCTGGGACAGACATTAATCAAGGACTATGCAGAATATGACTGGCAATCTCTTACAGACCAACAATCAGACTGAAAAATACAAATGTCTCAAGCATGACATATTCTGAACTATCACTAATTCTAAAACAAGTAATAGTGTCTCCAATATTCACTTGCAATTGCTTTATTAAACATGTTCTAACCAGCAGCTATATAATAAAATATTTGTCAGTAGGAATCATCATTTAAAAATAACTGTGATGGATTTATCTGAATGGAGTGGCAACTCCTATACTCAGTGCTCTGGAAGGCCCTACCAGCACTGTATGACAGAGGAATTTCTGTACTGTAGAGGGTGATATTGAGTACACCCTACAGCTGCACCCCTTTGCAGGATCCCTGCCTCTGAGAAAGAGCCTTGTGTCACCCCTACTGATGCTTCCGGAGCATGACAGGAGCCTCACATAGTTATGACTCAGCCTTTCTAGGAGATGCAGTGGACTCCTGACACTTGCAGTCCTAAGAGGCATAACCAAGGACTTGAGAGTGCCAGTCATTGTGTGCCCAAAGAACTGAGGCTACCTTAATCCAAACCAGGAATATCTGGAAGAAATACAGAAGAGATTACTTTATTTAACTGGGAAGCACTCCACACTGAAGTTAACTTACAGACTAAGTTAATGTACTTGAACCTTGAACCGCAGAACAACAGAGGGCTTCACTCCAGCAAAACAGCAAGGCGGAGGACAGAGGAAAAACACACAGCCTGAGGCACAGAAACAAACAAACAAACAAACCCCAACGAAACAAAACACCAACAAAAATATTCTACTTCACCTCAAGAGGGCTTTATTTAGAAGTGACACCTAACATGCTGCTAAATTCTTTTAAGAAAAAAGTGCCATGAGGAGTGAGATTGGAAAAACTGATAGGAAAGCATGGACTTTTTACCTGCTTCATCCAACCCTTGTTTTCCTAACACGAAAGGAAAACAAGAGTCAGCTAAGGCAAAAGGAGGCACTCTTGGCTCATCCCCTGGCCAAGGTCAGAGACAAACCAAATTAGGAGCACTATGGCACGGACTGCAAGCTTCAACAGGACCAACCAGTCTGTGCCTCAACTGGCAGAAACTCTGGAGATATAGAAGTATGCAGCCTCTTTTAAAGAAGCAAGTCCTGAAAGCAGGGATTTGCTCTCCACATTATTTTTCGCTGAAAAGATCTCTAAAGCAAAATGATCTAGTATATTGAAGAGCTTAAATAACTGTGACAAATGTTATTACATAGGAACCGCAAAACCAAAGTGAAAATTGTACTACATTCAGACCTATCAGCTGCAAGTCTGCATGAACCAAACTGTGATACCACTCAGTGGAACACCATTTTAACTACATTTCTTTAAAAGTGTCACTTAGCCCTTGAAATCCCCATTAAATTCTTTTTCCTCAAGAGTACACCAAAATGTTAACCTAGACCATATCAGGGACATCACAAATAGTTGGGTATAATGCATGCTATCTAGGTCCGAAACAGCAGGTTCCTGTTTGTAAATAACATCCCAAGATGCATTATTCAATACCACTTTCAAGGATAAATAGGAATTAGTTTAGCAAGTCTGTGTAATTATATTTTTTTCCTTTAGCATTTAGTTACTCTACTCCCAACAAGACTGACCAGTGTTCTACTATAATTAAAACCAGAATGAATAACCACAATATATACATATATTTCTACTAGAGAAATTACTAGGCTCTTGATTTACTATTTAGTCATGCCCTTCTATCTTAGCATTTTGTTACTCAATAGTTTGTTTTTTAATTTTTTGCATTTGTTTTCTAATTTCTGTTGGGAAAAGCAGCTTTTTCCCATGCAAGTACTACTGTCATGATAAACAGATGAACAGTAAAAGAGATGAGAATAAGAGATAAGAATTTCTAATCTTACTTTTAAATGCAACTGTTTAGTTTATAAACAAAATATTTCTAAAAGAAAGATAAATGATTACTTGCTGATGCCTGTACTTGCAAAGGATCTACTCTCCTCTTCACTCTGAATTTACGGCAATGATGACTTCTACACCAAGCAATTTCTCTTTTCTATTATTTACTCAAAGTTTCTAAACCCAAACTTTAAAAAACAACAAGCGAGTGTTCAGTTCAATCAATGTCTCTCTGGAGCAATTCAGCATCTTAAAGGACCCACTGTTTTCCTCCTCCTCCTCGAGTTTGTAACATTTTTATAACCTGTAATGATCTCAGCACAGACCTAATCTTGCAGCCCTAATGCAGACACTGTAAACACTGAAAATGTTGCCTGCTAAAGAACTACAGAATTGGGTCTTAGTACTTACAATTAATCTTGGGGGAAAAAAAAACAAACAACAAAAACAACCACTTTTCCCCAGGACCCAGACCAGGTTTTAGGGGGTTTTTGCACCTTCCTGTCTTACTTGCTTCTCGCAAGGACTCAAAAAAACAAAAGATATGTCAATTAAGTAGTTCTTCTGTCATTTAAAAAGGGACAAGCACACTATTATTCCAGAACATGTAATGTGCACTTACCAGACCATTGCAGTTGCTTAAGGCCACTTTAGTTGTACTGTCTTGGTCTTGCAAATATCCTGTGTAATGACAGTGGTCTAAAAAATCATGCTTCCATTGTGGTCCATCTTTCCCCCAGTATTCTACTGTAAAATGTCTGGACACCAAATCTGTGTTGAGAGTCAGGTTTAAATGAAAGTGCTTGCCATAGGCAGAAAGTTTAAAAAATAATTTAGATGCTGCCAGTTCTTGGTCATAAGGGTCTATACTCCTCCTCCTCCTTGAAGGTTTAGCATTTTTCACAGTAAAGCTGAGGAAGGCTCCATTTTGATCAACCCTTACTGGGATTGTTAGTTGGTAGTGTTCAAGGTAAGACAGGAATTCCTCTTTGCAATCACAAGGTAAGACAATCCAGGCAGTGGGCATAGAAAAGAAGAAAATATAACAGGAAACAACAAGTAGTAGTATAAACATAAACCATATTTGGCTAAATCTCATCACCCTCATGAGTAAGTCGTTTTCAGGTAAATGCAAGATGGAGAGTTTTACTAAATAAAATAAAATGTTCTTTTCTTTCTATGTCAAGAAAACATGTTCAGTTTCCTATTAACCTGATGTCACTGGAAATACAAGTTTTTAATTACATATCTTTATCCTATTTACCCAAAATATGTAAACATTTGGGGCTAAATTCTACCTAAGAAGGACGTACTCTTCCCAGTGATACCATTCAAAGACAAAAGCTATTAGATCCACCTGCAAGAATAAAAACAGTAGTAATGAAAAGTATTATATTGTAAAAACATGTAACCTATAAATGTTAATGGATCAAAATAAGATTAGATCCTTACTTCCTAGTTTAAAAACACATGTTAATGATGTTATGGCAAGTCTCTAAATTATTATCAAGTACAACATTTTACTAGATTTAATTTGCAAAGCTTTCCTACAGTTAAAAGTAGACAAAAACAAATTAAAACAACAATTTAATCAGATGTGCTATATTTAAACTTCCATGACAATGAATCATGATAAAACTAAGAGCAGAGCCCATACAGTCTCATGAATTATACAAACTGGGTTTAGAAAATATTACCCAAATGCAATGCAAAAATCTATGCTTCTTGTCAGCTACAGAAGTCTGACCCCTACCTTGAGAACTATATGAAAGCTTGTTGTCACTGTGAAATTCCGCTGAAACCATGACTAGGCTCAAAATCCATGTCCACTTCTTCCAAAAAAAATCCATAATTTAGAAAAACAGAAAGCTGGGGTTTCCCCCCCCCCCTCC